CAAAAATTCAGTAAATTCCGCAGTTACCATTTAAGTTTGATATTATTCAGCAAATTCCACAAGAAATCACTAAAAATTTAGCAAATTCAGCAATTTAGCAATTCAGCAGAAATTCAGCAAAAATTCTGCGGTTACCATTTACACCTTTGGTTTCTTCTTTTAGGGTTAGTAGACGACCATCGAATATCACAATCGGCAAAGGTATGGCGATTTTATCTTTGATTTATTTTTCCCTCGAGAAATTTCTTAACGAAATATAATGTTTGATTTCCTTACTCTGATTAGTGAATTACAGATAGATATGGATCGAGGAGGAAACGTAATCTTTGATTTCTTGAGCAAAGCATATGCGATGGTGGATGATCCTTGTAAGGATTCAATAATCTCATGGGGACCGAACGGCAACAGTTTCCTTGTTCTTGGGCCCCTTTGAACGGTTTCTATGGCTTCAGGTTCTGTTAACTACGGTCTTCGTGCTCTACCTTTGAACGATACTTCGTCTTGCTCCGTTACCTACGGATCAATGTTGAGCGGCAGACTGAAAACCGTAATGCTTTATGATCTCCATGTTTTATTTTTTTGCCATGGAATCATGTACTAAATTTATAATTGGCAATTGTAAACTTCAACTGTTTTTATTATTAATGAAATATTTACCATTTAGCCAAAACAAAAAATGTTGCAGACTCGAATCACCAATTTCATAAGATTTGAAACATATGTAAGTCTTTTTTTCTTTTTCTTTGGGGTACCTTTTTGGGTTTGGTCAAATATTCAATCACCAATTTCATTAGTGATGTTTTTTGTTGTAGGGGTTTGAAAAAGTCGAGCCCGGAGGAGTATTGGAATTTGCGAGCAATGATTTTGTGAGAGGCCAACCTGAGCTTTTGGAGAAGATTTACGATCGCTACATGGAAAAAGTGAATGCATATAATGCGTTGAAATGGAAGCCGAGGGGTTGATCGATTGAAAAAATGCAAGACCAGAGAGGAGTGGGATTTAGTCACCAAGGAGAACATGGAGAGCATTGAAAGGGATGATAGGGAGAGAACGGATAAAGCTTTAGCCGTAGAGCTCAAGGATCTAATGAAACTTATAGTAAAGGAAAGGGAGAGTAGGGGACAACCTCTATCAAAAGAGCTCGAGGATCTATTGCAATAGTCGGGCCAAAACATCACTCCTCGAGTAGCCAATGCCTCTCAGTCAGCCAAGCTGACAGGAAACACCCTACTTTGACAGTGTTTGGCCCTTATGAAGTCGATCAGCCCTCTAGCGTATAGGGAACCATCAAATCTTATATCTTCTATGTTTCTTCGTTAACTTGCAGTTTAATTAAAGTGCTTTGTAATTTTTCTAAAACTTAGGTTTGCTATCTGTTTGTTTCTTCATTAACTTGCGGTTTGAATGAGTGCTTTTCTTTTCAAAAAGAAACCTGCTTTAAGCTCTTAAAGCATTGTCAGAGTAGTGGGAGCTGTATGTGGTCAATGCTAACATGTTACCCTACCAACTTCATGAGTGAGTATTTTTCTCAG